TCGCGTCGGGCTCGCCGAAATGCGACGAAACGAGCCCCGACGAGCTGGCCGTCCCTGCCTGGGCTTCAGCTAAGCTAACGAGGCTAGCAGCTCGCGCCTCGCTAACGTTAGCCGGTCGCCAACGCTTGGGAAGGAGCCCAACTGCCCGTGGTTTGTTTTCCGAACTTGGCGAGGGAAATGGTTTGCTTGCGTTTTCTGCTTTTTCCTGCCTTTGGCGACCAAGCGAAGCGGGACGTGGGAGCTCGCTCGTCCGCGGGGCTTTGACGCATTACCGGCTGCTCGAGTTTAGCAACTCCCCAAATTGGCACACCTCGACCAGCCTTCAAAAATATTTGGAGCGAAACGTGTGGCAGTCGGTCGGCAAACTTTTTTTTTTTTGCACATTGGCGACCTCACACAGAGTTCCCCGTCCACCGTCGGCTTTGTGGGCTATTCGCAGCCACTGACCTTCGTAAGGTGTCCCCGGTCCCGACGACGCTGCAACTGGAACCGCAAGGAATGCTGCATTCCAGGAAAGTGGGAAGTGGAACTTTGGCGACTTCCACTTTGAACCGGGAGCTCCAAGCCGCAAAGGCAGGGCCACAAAAAGGACTTGGCCGACCGGCTCAAGTCCGGCATGGCAACTCACCGGTTTTGCTGGTGCTGTGTGGGTGGCTCATCGCAGCGCGGAGCCACACGCGTATTAAGATTGTCTTCCACCAGGGATCCCCGAACAAGTCCTCAGAGGCCGAAATGTCACAAGTGATCCCTCTAAAACGGAGAACGGAGACTCCCCGAGCATATGAGCAGATGTTTCTGGAGGTTGTCCGTACTTGGGAGCGTTGCCGTTCAGGAATACGACTCCGCTCTGAGCACCTCTCAGACAGAAGGCTCGTCTTATGGGGCGATCCTCGAAGGCAGTCAGAGAAGTTTGGATGATGTCCATGAACAAAGCGCATCCCCGTAGTCGGGAACGCGCCGACGGTCGCCGGCACTCACTTCTTTCTGGTTGTCTGTTTCGAAAGGAACCCCGTGCAGTACGTCTTTACGAGCGGAGCCCCTCCAGGCCGGCGGGCGTTGACGGCGGGAACGGCCGCTAGCGTGGGGCCTCCCTTGCCAAAGATGGGAAGCAGATGTTTGGATTCGGCCGAGCGACTGGCACGCGACAGGAATGTCGCGGCGTAATACCGGGCCAGAAACGATACCCGTCGTCGTTTTCTCATCGTTGGCATTTTTGCTCGCTCTGAGGAGCCGCTCGGTGGGGAAATGAATTAGCGACGTGTTAGCGCATGCGGCTGGCTGACTCGAGCCAAAGTCAACAACACGCCCGTGGAAAGAACGAAACAAATACCTGCCGTCATTGACGCCGCACAAACGGCGTCGTCGGCGAGGCAAAAGCCCGGGAGGGAAAGAAAGAAATGGGAGCCACCGCGGCGGCGGCGTTTGTTTTTGCAAACCCGCCGGACTGTTTGCCGGCGACATCATTCAAATGCAAATGCCAGGCACCTTTGCTGCACCTTGTTTTGTATTTTTACCCAAAAAACAGGTCCAACTTTGGTTCTTCAGTATTATTCATTCTTCATATTTGAAATGGACATGCTCATCATGTCCATTTCAAATATGAAGAATGATGTCGATATCATGTAGTGAAGCCCACCCACGCTAAGATTGAGAAGACGGGAACTTGTTGGCCATCTGCCCTTTCAAGAGCTTCATCGGAAACGAGGGCGAGTGTTCCCGTGGCTTCGGAAGGCGCCCATCCTCCCCCTTTGGAAAGCTCTCATTTCCTCCGCCTCCGAGTCGCGATTTTGCACCCAGATGTACTTTGAGTGCGACGGGCACGGCGCCGTGAAACCCTGCAACGGAGGCGGTCGTCCATCACGGGCGCCTCTCGCCTCAGAGCCCGCCGCACCCCGACGGATGCAAACGGCCTCGTTTTGGGGAGCGTGACCATTTGTTGGCGGAACGTGCGCTTAATGTGCTTTACGTTGTGACAAGCAGAGCCGCCCGCCCGTTTCTGCCTTTGATTCTCACAGCCGAGCAAATCGTTTCTAGGTCAGTGATTGTCCAAGGGCCGCACTTGCCTGCCGTTTTTATCTGCCTCGCCGCAAATGGCTCCAAACCACTTCTTTTTTGACGCGACGGTGGGGGAACTTGACCCGGCACGAGTCACTCTCTTTGCCTTTATAGAATTCTTTTCTTTCCCCTCCCCCCTCCTTACGAGGACATTTGCTGAAACATTGAAATGCAATTTCGGATATGTAAAAATCCGATATTTGTGAAGAGTGCTTTTTTTTTTTTTTTTTTTTAATGGATTACACAGACAAGGTGTTTCATGTTGAAACGGACGAACTTGATTGTTTGGAGCAAATCATCAGGAACGTCTGATTTTGTGGCTTCAACACGCTCCCAAAAAGCTGGGACAGGTGGCCAAAAAAAAAAAAAAAGGCTCATCAAACACCCGTTTGGAACATCCCACCGGTGGACAGGCCCACTCGCGACAGGAAGGGGCCACGATGGGCCCGAAAAGGCGCTTCCGTGAATTCCTCAGTCTCATTCACAAGCATGGATGGGGCAAGGTTGACCTCTTCGGGAAGAACCGGGCCAGAAAATTGGCCAACAGTTTCAGGACAACGCTCCTCGGCGTACAATTGCAAGGAATCGAAGGATTTCCTCATCTCCGCTCCATAACATCATCACAAGGTTGCGAGGATGTGTTGCCGAATCACCGCACGGAAGCGGCAAGGCCAACGTGACCGGATTCCATCCCTCAGGCGGCACGGAATCCAAAACCGGCATCGCCGCGCCAAGGAGACCAAACTCGTCGGTCGGGCGCTCCGTCCGCGAGGGCGACTTGAAAGTCGACCGCGCCAAGCAAAAGCCGCTTCTCGGCAACAGCCGCGAGCGCCGCCGGCTCTTCGGGGCCCCAGCTCGTCATGAGAAGGACTGAGGCAAAGTGGGAAAGTTGCCATTTTGGGGGGAAATTATAGGCGTCGTGTCCTCCGGGGCAAAGGGCAAAACAACCGTCCGGACTGTTGCGGACCCAAAGCGTGACCGCGTGGGTTTTCACCAAGGTTCATCACCGCCAAATAATTGTCGTAGGCGACGGTCAAAGTGGCCTTTGGCTTCGCTGAGTGTCCTGCGCAGGTTTTCCGACTACTGCTTGCTGATAATTGTGATCTTAACGTCGCAGGTTTGTTTGCGAGTGCTGATCTCCCCGTAACGCCGCGCGCTTTGTCTTGCAGGCAGGTGATAAGAGGGGACGTCGTCCGCCACCTCCCGCAAGATTGGACAGGAACGGGGGACCGGTCGCTCGCGCCAAGCCGAAGATGAATGATCCCCTGAGCTTTTTCTCCCGGCAGCGAGCGAGTCGGCGATGAGCGCTTGGATATAATATCATGGCCAAGAACAAGGACGCGCGGCCCCCGACGTTCGCCGTCAGCGTGGTCGGCCTCTCCGGCACGGAGAAAGACAAGGGCAACTGCGGCGTGGGCAAGTCGTGCCTTTGCAACCGATACGTGCGACCGGACGCCGACGACTACTACTCGGAGCACACGTCCGTGCTGAGCACCATCGACTTTGGGGGGCGCGTGGTGAACAATGACCACTTCCTGTACTGGGGCGACGTTCCCCACCGGGGGGACGAGGGACTGGACTGTAAAGTCCAAGTCATCGAGCAGACGGAGTTCATCGACGACCAGACCTTTCAGGCGCACCGGAGCACCAACATGCAGCAGTACAGCAAGCGGGCGGCGACCACCAAGCTCCAGTCGGCCGAAAAGCTCATGTACATCTGCACGGACCAGCTGGGCCTGGAGCAGGACTTTGACCAGAAGCAGATGCCGGACGGGAAGCTGAACGTCGACGCCTTCGTGCTGTGCGTGGACGTCAGCAGGGGCTGCAACAGGAAGTTTGACGACCAAATGAAGTTTGTCAACGGCCTCTACTCGCAAATCGCCAAGTCCAAGAAACCCGTGGTGGTCGCCGCGACCAAATGCGACGACTTTGTCGAGCAGCACCTGAGGGAGCTCCAGACTTTTGTGGCCGGCAAGAAGAACCTGGTCCTGGTGGAGACGTCGGCGCGCGCCAACGTCAACGTGGAGCTCTGCTTCAACGCCCTCCTCCAGCAGCTGGACAAAACCCGCGGCAAGCCCAAAATGGTTCCCTACTCGGAGGCCTGCAAAGTCCAGAGGCAGCTCGTCGCCTCGGCGACCGAGCGATTCGAGAAGCTCACGGTGCAGCTGGTGCGAGATTACCACGCCACCTGGAAAGGGGCGGTCGGCAGCATGAAGGGCAACCCCGACTACGAGGAGTTCGTCACCCTGGAGGGCTCCGGGAAGGGCCGCGCCGTGTTCGCCAAGCACGTGGCGCAACTCAAACAAGAGCACGTCAGGAGGAGGCGAGAGGAGTACCTGACCACCCTGCCCAAGACCCTCGGCAACCTCCTGAGTCGTTTGGACGAGGTGGAGCACCTGACGTGGGGCGAGGCGCAAAGCCTCATCCGCCGCCGTCCCGATTTCCACTGCTGGTTCGTGGTCCTGGAGCGCACGCCCTGGGACGCGTCGGACCACGTCGACAACAGCGACCGGCGGATACCCTTCGACCTCCTGGGCACGCCCGACGGCGAGAGGATTTACCACAACCACGTCCAGCACCTGCTGTCGGAAAAGAGGCGGCTGGACGCGAAGGAGCGCTTCAAGAAAACGCTGGAGCGCCTTCACTTCATCGGCGCCGGGCAGCCTTGGGAGGAGGTGGCGTGCTTGGCGATGGAGGACGACGCCTCCAAGTTGATCGGCGAGTCGGATCGGCGGGACGTGTACGCGCGACACCAGCAGGAAATCGTGGAGCGGGCCAAGGAGGACTTTCAGGAAATGCTCTTCGAGCACGCCGAGCTCTTCTACGACTTGGACTTAAACGCCACGCCCAGCTGCGACAAGATGAGCGAAATCCACGCCGTGCTCAGCGAGGAGCCCAGGTACCGGGCGCTGCAAAAACTGGCGCCGGACCGCGAGTCCCTCCTCCTCAAGCACATCGGCTTCGTCTACCATCCCACCAAGGAGACGTGCCTGAGCGGGCACAACTGCGTGGACCTGAAAGTGGAGCAGGTTCTGGCCAACCGGCTGCTCCAGCAGGACCACGGCCGCTCGGACCTCTACCGCTACGGCGGCGCCGACGTGGACAAGGTCAACCTCTGCCTCCTGGGCAGGGAGGGCCTTTCGCAAGAACTGGCCAACGAGATCCGAGCGCAGTCCACGGACGACGAGTACGCCCTGGACGGCAAGATTTACGAGCTGGAGCTCCTCCCCGTGGACGTCAACTCCACGCTGCTCTTCAGCCACACCTGGGTGGCCACGTTCAAGCCGCACGGCTGCTTCTGCGTCTTCAATTCCATCGAGTCGCTCAACTGCGTCGGCGACTGCGTCGGCAGGATCCGGGCCGAGATCGCCCAGAGCCGGAGGGAGAGATTTGCCCCTCCCCTCCCCTTCGTCCTCATCCTGGCCAACCAGCGGGACGGCGTGTGCAAGAACGTCCCCATCCTGCGGCACCAGGGCCAGCAGCTGGCCAACAAGCTGCAGTGCACCTACGTGGACGTTCCCTCGGGCGCCTTTCCGCGCAAGTTCACCGAGTTCCAGGTCAAGCAGGGCCTGCGGGCCGTCCTGGACGGGCTGCGGCAGAACTCGGACGTCCTGGCGCCGCCGCCCTCCATCAAAGACGCGTCCGAGGCCGACCTGCGCGTGGTCATGTGCGCCGTGTGCTGGGACCCCTTCAGCGTGGACCTCATCCTCTCCCCGTTCCTGGAGTCGCGCTGCTGCGGCGCCGGGCGGCCGGGCCGGGCCAACGCGCTGCTCCTGGACAAGATGGTCGGGGCCGGCCGCAGGAGGATTCAGGTCACCGTGCTCTCCTACCACTCCGCCATCGGCGTGCGCAAAGACGAGCTGGTGCACGGCTACATCCTGGTCTACTCGGCCAAGCGCAAGGCGTCCATGGCCACGCTGCGCGCCTTCCTGGCCGAGGTCCAGGACGTGATCCCGGTGCAGATGGTCGCCGTCACCGACAGCCAGGCCGACTTCTTTGAAAACGACGCCATCAAGGAGCTGATGACCGAAGGCGAGCGCATCGCCACCGAGATCGCCGCCAAATTCACGGCGCTCTACTCGCTGTCGCAGTACCACCGGCAGACCGAGGTCTTCACGCCCTTCTTCAACGAAGCGCTGGAGAAGAAACGCGACGTCGAGAGCGCCTTCCTGCTCGACGGCGCGTCCAGGGAGTGCGCCGCGGGGGCCGGCGAAGAGGTTTTCCGCACCTCCCCGCGCGGCCGCTCGCCGGCCTACGACGCGTACTACCCGGAGTCGGACGACGACAACGAAGCCCCGCCGCCGTACAGTCCCATCGGCGACGACGTGCAGCTTCTTCCCACGCCCAGCGAGCGCGCCAAGTACCGCGTCGACCCGGAGGGCAACGAGTACCCGGTCCACGGCGCGCCCGCCGGCGACCACGAGCGCAACCACAAAGTGCCGCCGCCCGTCCGCCCCAAGCCGGCGCTCCCGAAGCCCGGCGTGAAAAAGCTGGACCCCAACTTGCTGAAAACCATCGAAGCCGGAATGCGGGGCAACCGGCGGCCGCCGCGCGGCGGGCAC